ACGCCTCACAGCAAGAAGGTCCTGGCTTCGATCCCCAGTTCGGCCTGGGGTGTTTCTGTGCAGAGTTTGCATATTCTCTTAGTGCTTGCGTGGGTTTTCTACGGGTACTCCGGTTTCCCCCACCTCCAAAAACATACAATAGGTTGCCCCCAGGCCTCCCCTGAAAAAGAGATCTGAGATCTCAGTGGGATTTGCCTGGATAAATAACAGCAAATAAAATAATCACACAATTTTGTCGCAGAGCTAAAAAGCAGATTCAGATTCATTTCCACAGAGATGCATCTGGAAAAGTAATCTTTCAGACTATATCYAGAACATGGGATCTTGAAAGCTGCCACATTAGATCAAGTTTTTCCAAACATAGCCCCTGAGTGCTAAAAGACTTGTTTGAAACATGGCTAAGCAGTGAGGCAGGCGACATGCACTTGTTCAGATAAGGCTACATTTCATTTTGACAGAATGAGCGTTGTTTCAGTTCTTTCTACCCAAACCTTTGGCCTTCTCACCATAAAGAGAAATAGTCGAGAACATCTCACCTCACCAGGACTGTCTCATGAATAAAATATGCAAATATTATTTGGGTTTTCTCACCAAAAGTAGGCTTTGTTATTGGTTAAACGACATTTAATTTGATTTGTTTATACTGTAAAGCAGAGAAGCACTTATTGGTTAGCAGTGTCACTTAAATGTCAACGATTTCCACCTTTTATCTCATCTGTTTTGTTTTTGCGTCCTTGTGGGTTCTTGTCTTCTACCTTCTTTTCATTCCACAGTCCAAACTGTGTGTTTTATATTTGTCATAAATGAGAATTGAACCTTTATGATTGTTGGTCTTGTGTGTTTAATAAATACTAGAATAAGCTTCAGCCCCTCTCAACAGGGCAGATAATTATCTCAAAAATGTTTTGTACAAAATGTTGTCACCATGCAAAGCTTTGCTGGAAAGAACAACTCAAATTCAAGGATTTTGATCTTTAATAAAATAAAAAACTAATTACCTTTTTTTTTACTTTAGTTTAAGACAAAGAGAATAGATGATTCATCTGAACTTTATCTACCCTAAATGATATTTTGCAAAAAGATGTGGAAGCTGAGAAATGTCTCTGTGAAGACAAACAACACAAAGAGCCTGAGCTCCTGACAGAAACCCTCACAGCATTTCAGGAATTTAAAAAAGGCTCCTAATGATGAAGGTTGTGACGTGGAGGTGAAAACTCTAGAATAATAATAAAAAAAGAGCTGATCCATGAAGGTTTTGCAAAGTTTGGAGCTAGACTTTCAGAAGACAAATGTAACAACAAGCTTTCAGGACGCCATTTTAAATTACAAAGAACTTATTAAAATATGTCAAAATTCTAAGAACAGATTATCAGAAAACAAACTTTCCTCCAATAAAACAGGCTCCAATAACCAGCAGTAAGAACAGACAACATAGAGGTGGTTTTAGCAGCACTCATTTTTATCTATTTGTGTTTCTTTTGAGTTTTCTTATTTTGTTGCCTTGAAGCAGTTTGTGTCTATTGTTGGTTGTTTTCTGATTCTTTTCCACCTCTTTGTGACTCTCTGTTATCACTTTTGTGCTTTGTGCCTCAGTGAGGTTCTAACCGGTGCTGCTGCKGCGCAAAATTTACAACTGAGGTGTAACAAAGAAACAATGCTAAGCAATGCGTTAGCATTATTTCACATGAAAGGTTTAAGGCAGGGGAGTTAAAGTCCGTTACAAGGAAGCTAACATTCAAAACTTGGTCCAAGTTAAAGACCAATCTGCCAATTTATTGAAAAAAAATTCATTTTAAATGTTATCTAGCAAATTATTCTTATAGATACACAAATTCTTTTTTTTTTCCTATTTATATTTCATGTAGCTTTTAGGACATACTGTACATACCTTACCAAATAAAGAAAAAATATTGCTTGTACATTAGACAGCAGCATTTATTTGTCTGTCAACAACTATTTCATTTAATATTTGATCATAATCCAGYATATCAGTAAAAAAGAAAAACCGTTACTAAAAATCCAACTAAAAGGGAACATAGAATTAAACGGTCAAGAAAAGGCTGAAAAAGAGAAACTATAAAACTATRTTACATTTAAAATGTTACCTTTGGGGCCAGATARAATGTTAACRAGGGCCAAAWRTGGCCCTCAGGACTTGAATTTGAATCATGGTTTAAAGGAATTTGTAATATATCAGAATAGAAATTAATCACAAAATCAGWAGATAAATAATTAACTGATTAGTTTGGATTCAGATACCAAAAAACGAMGTACTCTTCTTTTAGACCATTAAAATGGGTTAAGAAAAGATGGAWGCAGTTTAGTAAAATAAAACCCGAATGAAAGAAGTGTTGTCATGCTAATGAGTCTCAGTCCCAGAATAATCACTAAATGATGCTTAGGACATGCGGACCATTGACATTCGGTTAAAAAAATGRTAAATGGACTGAACTTATAGAGAGCTTTATCAGTCCCTCCAGACCCCAAAGTGCTTTACACTTACAGACATTCACCCATTCACACACTGATGATGGGTAAGCTACATTGTAGCCACAGCTGCCCTGGGGCACACTGACAGAGGTGGGGCTGCCATGCACCAGCGCCACYGGACCCTCTGACCACTATCAGTAGGCAAGGCGGGTGTACTGTCTTGCCCAAGGACACAAARACTRAGACAGCTGGACGGGGGATTGACCCGATGACCTTCCGGTTCCACGACGACTCCCCTAACCAATCCGCCACAGCTGCCCACCAAAAAAGCATGTGGTTCGACGATGAGGGGTGAAGAACATTGACAGTAGCTTGAYCTCCTTGAACACCACAGCTGTGCAGGACAAATAAGGCTGACCKCTGGTCCTGTGTTCTGGGTATTTAYAGCTAACATGTCCAAATGTTAGAGCTCAGACTTGCTGTTACCATTTGTAAGAAATAAGAGGAAAACTCAAAACATGCTCAGATTTTGGGCACAGGGCAGAGAAAGGTCTCTGTTAAAGATGAGACAATTTTACTGAACTGAAAATAAAAATKAATCTAAACAAGGTGTTTATCACTCTACAGTGGGCTGTTCTAAAAATATAAAATTAGCAACAAGTAGCTGTTCAATCCCCACATTATTTTTTACATTTTTGCACATTACCCTGCTGGAGTCCCAGTCTTCCTCCATCTCTCTAAGTTTTCTGTGCCTCTGCAGACGAGTGCTTCTCTGTTGATTTGGCCGCCGTTGCTTGATTTCACACTGGCTTTCTGCATGTGCAGTACGTGAACTCTCTGCAAAGAACTTTGCTTATAGATAATGCATCCATTCAAGGTCCCCAGTTGGCGCTCTATAAGGCTGGAGTCGATGCACAGATTTTCTTTTTTCTTCAGGACAGGAAGCACGATCCCAGCACATAAAAATAGTTACTCTGTTGTTATTAAAAATAGATTTGTTCTTCAGTAGCTGCGTTGCTGCTGTTTTCTAATTCATACTGAACGTTTCTGACTGACTTTGACCACATTTTTTCTTGCTCCTCATCGTTAACTGCGTCCTTCTGATAAATAAATACCTTGAGCTTGTAATTGTCTTAAACCTTGATCCAGAGTGGCTCAATTAGGACACAAATGAAACCACTCAATAGGATTTCTTCAAGTGCTTTTCATCTCTTAGAGTGAAGTTTCTCCTTTTGAGAATTACTGAGTCGAGCTATGAAATCGCCCTTGTGCCTGTCAGATGTTTCTCGCTTAAAAAACAGCTCTAGCATAGAAATATCCATCTTTTTGTCCATTCATTTGGGAGTTTTATAGGCTACATTACATTAAAAACAGCACTAATTATGATGCCACAGGGTGTAAGTTTTGGGCAGTAATTGATTCAGATTTGAAGTTTTAGACCAAAATCTTGTTTTTGATCTATTTGTAAAGCTAAAGGTTTCCTTGGAGACCTGCTGGCTTCTTAGCAACATAGGAGAGAGAGAGAGAGAGAAAAGACAGACACGGTGAGAAAATGTGCGATTCTGGCTCGTCCCCAGCACACAGCGGAGGAAGTGTGGCACCATTTGCACATCAGGAATCCCATGTCTGTGGGTCAACGAAGAAGGTTATCCATGTTCAAATTTTAAAGGTCACAAAAGGGCAGAACGTGGAACGGCTTTTGTGCGGCTGACTCATTTACCTTGTCCGTGTGATGTGCAGGGGGGAGATTAACTTTGCCGAGACAGTCGGTAAACTATTTTGTCCTTTTATTTAATGTCACAGGATGCACATGTATTCACAAAAACACAATGAGGCCGACACTGAGATGACTGACATTTTTACACTTGTGTCAAACACAGAAAGGCAAGAGTCGTTTCACTGCACAGGACTGTGACCCTCTTACTTAAAAAAAATGCAATAATCTTACTGAGATTACACACAAATGACATCATAGGTCGAGCTGATTAAGCGGCACTGTAAATTAGGTTATTATGTACCTCTAATCCAGCTGATTATAATGAGAATGATCATTTCATGCACTTGTAATTCAGCTACAAGTGGTTCACAGCATTTTCTGAGAATCTAAACAAGCATTTAAACYAACACATCGCTCAGGCTTGTCTCAGATTCACTGGAGTGTAACTGTAAGGTAAAACAAAYCTGCTCTAAATACAGTTTTGAGCAGACAAACTCACTCTGAGCTCAGTTTGATTATTAAATAAACACTACATTCATGTTTGCATGACCCATTCTTATGAGAAATATAAAAGAAGATCTGTGTAAAAGTGCATTTCGTGAGAGTGGGGGTTCTATGGAGTAGTTAGGAGTAGTCAGTGTCTTAGCTGCATCAGGCAACTGTTAGAGGAGTTCCTCAACTGAACAACATCTGTATCAACTCAGAAGGTGCTCCATGGTGTCCTGTCACAAATCAGCCATTAGTCATAATCCTGCTGGTCTCATGTATTAATTTTTATCCTTTTCCTCTGGACAGCAGGTAAGATGCTGACTGATTTTGTGTAATCCACAAAAAAATTATAAAGAAGAGTGAGCAAGAAAAAAAACCTCTTTAATCCAGAGTTTGTTTGTTACTATCACATCTGATGATGGCTTGACAAAATGATTTGTCTTTGGTTTCCTCCAAAACAGAAAGTAAACATAAATCAGACAATGAAACATTGCTTTGTTTCCTCTACAAATATAACTAAAATTTGCTCATAACCAAAATCATAGCCCTTTACTCGACAACTTTTGTGTTTGAACCACCATGTGGAGGAATTTGGACCAAATTGTGTTGCTGTAATTAAATAATAATCGCTCTGTCTCTGTATTTATCTATTTGAATTTGTAATTGGCTGTCATCATGAAGATTTAGTTAATGACACACCAGGTAAATAATTATAATAAAGTGTTTGTTTCCTACTGTGCTGCCAAAGGCAATATATTCTAAGCATTAGTCTCATAAAGTGCAAAAACTGGTTTAGATTGACCCATTTTTTAAAGAAAACCCATCAATTGACTCATCTGGTTTATTTGGTCCACATGAACCATCAGTGAAGTCCTCCATGGAATCACAACACTGATTTGAAAGGATTTCTTAAAGCAACAAGGCAGCCATTTATGAACCAACTACAATCCTTCCTGGAGTTTGATTTCCAATTCAAACAGTCAGAAGAACTTCAGCTTTGACGTCAGAATCCAACATGGCAGCCTCTCATAAATATAAGAAAAGCAGCAGTAAAGCTCTTATAAATAAATATGTTGCTAAAGGATTGTTTGTTGCCATCTATCACCAGTTATTGCTCACAATTGGAAAAATGGTTAACTGGTCATGAAATCATTCCCAGCTGGCAGAAGTATTTGCTTTATCCCCCCCGGTTTATCTTGGTTTTCTCACTTTTCCATGGAATAAAGGTTGAATAGCCTAAAAAGTATGACATTTATGCCACTTTGTTCAAATAATTTTGATCAGACAATCACATTTCGATGGCTCAAACTTTCACATTAAATAAATATTCAATATAATGAGCTGGGAACAGAACAAACAGTTCACSTGGTTCTGCCAAAAATAACAAAATGCACCCTGTGAAACCCTAAACTTTATTAATAAATACTCTGTTTTGGTTGCTTGTTGTATATATTTACTGTACAAAAAGAAAGCTTGCAGTCTTTCCAGAGCTGTCCAGAACAAATCACATATTGATGTCCTTGTGTATCATGACAGAGCTGGGTGGTGCCTCCTCCACTCGTCTCCCTCTCAGAGCCAAAGACAGAACGTTATGGACGGCCCGGGACACTCTCAGAAGCAGGTCCTTCAGCCCAGCTCGGTACTCTCTGCGGATCAGGCAGTAGAGCACCGGGTTGAGGCAGCTGTTGGCGTGAGCGAGACACACAGTCAGGGGAAAGGCATAGGCCTGAGCGTTGTAGAAGGCCTTGCTGAAGGGCACCAAGTCAAACTTGATCAGCACCCCCCACAGGGTGAGGGCTTGGTTGGGGAGCCAGCAGATGAAGAAGGACAGGACGACGATGGTGACCGAGCGGGTGACTTTGGAGCGGGAGCGGTGGCGTCCTCTCTCGTACTCTGACCTGTCGGTGCCGACGCCGCCTACAGAGCTGCCAATGATCCGCCGGCTCAGGATGAACCTCAGCAGGAGGAGGTAGCACACAGTGATGATGATCAGGGGGACTACAAAGCCCAGGAGAACCTTCTGCGTTTGGTAGAGCCCTAACAAGACTTGGGGATCCCAGTGGCCCGAGTCGGAGTCTGAAAAGCGAACTAAGCACAGCTCGTCGTCTGCAGACACCTGTAAACACAGAATCAGATGAACACCACAGAAGAACCGAATCAGGACTAAAGGTGGAGCCTCAAGCCAACAGACCTGAACTGTGGTGGAGTAGATCGCGTGGGGCAGTGTGGCCACCAGGGACACCACCCAAATGGCGGAGCTGGCCCACTTGGCCCGGGCCGTGGCGGCTCTGGGGCTGCCCATTTTCAGGGAGGTAACCAAGGAGTGGTAACGGGTCATGCTCATGGCGGTGAGGAAGAAAACGCTGGCGTACATGTTCATGGTGGTGACCGAGCTCACGATCTTGCACATGACCCGGCCGAAGGGCCAGCGGAAGTCCAGCACCGTGTCCACGGCCCAGAAGGGCAGGGTGAGGACGAACTGCAGGTCGGTGATGGTCAGGCCCATCACGAAGCAGTCGATGGCCGAGTGGTGGTGGCCTCGGCGGCGGGAGTGGAGCAGGAAGAGGGCCAGGAGGTTACCCACAAGCCCCAGGACACACACCACCAGGTAGACCAGAGCGATGAGAACCCGCACCTGTCAGACACACATCAGCCCAACATCAGGTTCTACTGAACTGAAAAGAAGAAGAATTAACCAGCCTGCACGTGAGGTGAACTTACAGTCAGGTTGGCGCTGTCTCCATGCAGATCCATGGATGACTCCTTGGAGAGGATGTGAAGCCAGCAGTTGAGGGAAAGGTTAAACGCTGGCAGGTTGGAGCCTGCTCCTGTTGGGCTGACCAGCTCGGAGATCTCCTCCTCCTCTCCTCCGCACGCGCTTAACCCGGTTGGAAGTCCGGAGAAGCTGTTGTTGCTCTGCATGACTGATCAGAAGGGGGGAAAAAAGAAGAGAGGGGGGAAAAAGAAGTTCCCAGGTGTTTTCTAGGCTACCTTCCAGGCTGAGAGCGCACAGATGTGGAGGGAAAAAATCTCCATCCTCCTCATCCTCCTGCGTCTGGAAAGCTCCAAATCCACAGCGCGCCTTTCTCACATGGTCTTCGTTTTTTTCCAGACAGAAAGCTGTTGGGGTTTTAAAGAAAGCAGCCGGTTTGAGTGAGCCAGCCTACTTTTGGCGCCTTCTGACATGATGCGTCTCGCGCCTCATCCTGAGASTCTGAGCGCTCGCGCGGATTGTAGCCGTTTTTATAGTCGCTGGACTCCTCTCCCGCCGCGTGAAGGCGCACTGTGGGCGCGCACAGATCATCCATCGCAGGATCACAAGATCCACTTCATATTTCAAGTTCAATCTTACAAAAAGGCAGATTTCTTCTTTTTTGTTGCGCGCCTTCCAAGGTCATTTGGCAAACCATCAGGTGGTTTGTGCGTAAAATAAACACGCGTCAAGTTGGTGTTTTGTTATTTCCTCTTTTATGTAAACACTTTATGAAACTAAGCACCATTAGGGGGAAAATACAAAGGAATTTCTTTATTTTTTAAGCTCTCTGGATGAAAATGATCCACATCAGAGGACTGAGCTGCAGATCTGAGGTATGAGAAGAGAGGTGGTTTCCACCCCTCTTTTTTAGGTCACCTGTTTGTTTTCACAACATTTGAAAACCAAATATACTTAATATATTTATATTTAATATACTTCTTAGCTTTTTCAATCTTTCTATATTTCTAATTATTTCTCTCTCTGTTTTTCTCTCTGTCTCTATT